ATTAAATGGGCAAAACTCTTTGGAACACCAGCCGGTGTTCCCTTTAGCTGGACCTTTAGCTGACTATCTAGCATCAGAGGGGTTTAACACAGACACAGTCTCTAAGTGTCAGGGCAGGAGCTGTGGAACGGACAGGCAGGCCTAATGGCAGGGTCACGCACCGACTGACAACAACCACCACCCACAGACCGGAGTCCCTCAGGAGTCTAAGTCCCAGGCTGCCCTTCACCAGGGCCCCTGATGGTGGGGATGGACCTGAGGCAGCCAGGGACCAGGTCGCGGCCCCCGAGACACCCTAGCTGTGGTAATGGCCACCGCCAATGGCGTGTAGCTGGTAGGAACCAGATAAGACAATAGTGTAGTCGGGCAGGCCGGGTCGATAACAACGGGACAGACAGTACAGAACGGTAGACAAGAATAACAGGTCACAAAAGCCTGGTTCAGCAACGGGAGGTCAGATAAATGGATAACGCAGAGAATAGTCTAGTCAAAAGCCAAGGCAGTTTCCAGGAGAGCCACAAGAGTAGAAACCGAGCTTGTTGCAACACGAGCATACAAGACACGAATGCAAAGAGCACGTGCGGACAACAGGCTTATATGTGATCAACCACACCCCTCTGGGGGATGGACCGCAGAGGCCTGAAGGCATAAAAGACTCCCACCATGCTCTGCAGAAACCCAAGATGGATGCCAGCACATGGAGCAGCTCTGGGAAAAGGTAGGACCTTGACACTAAGATCCTTTAAAGGTGTCTTTACTCACAAGGCCTAAGAGCAGCTGATTGCCTTGTGCCACAATACCAGACCAGATCTTAAGTAGACGGCTCCTCAGTCACCTTTAGCAAAAAAAGTCTCAGGCCCTCAGGTCGCCTACCATCTTATACAGGAAAATACCAGCGTGCACACTAAATATATACAGTTACCCAGCATGCCATCAGAGCCTCTCTAATTGGGATAAGCCAGGGTTGTATCAATATTCATGCTGCCATATGCATAAATCCTTACCTATTATCCAGAAGCTTCTCAAGCTTTCTGGATGCAGAGGGAGCTATCAGCCTGGCTGCAGCAGATCATAATGAGCAGACCTAACTAGCAGAACACAGCAGCACTTATCAAAGTGTGCAAGTTATGCTTTTACCAAATATCAATTACAACCACACTGACTACAGTGTAACAGCTAAATTTGCCTATCAAACCATACTGTAACTAAATCTATCTAAACCTAGCACCTATCTAGGAGGGTGTTACACTTGTAAAGCAGAGTTCATCCATCCATTACAACAGGCGGCCTACGCACCACCTTTGGCTCCCTTATGCCAACTGTTTACAATGAATGCATGCTGCGTGTTGTCTTGCAGTTGTGTGCATAAAGTGTAAAAGAAAAGGTATTTTCAGGCATATCCCAGCAATAATTAGTCACAAATTATAAAATGCATGGTTACAGGACTGTAAAAAACGTAAAAAGGCACGAGTCTTCAACTGGGCATTAAGAAGGAGGGAGCTGGAGTGAGGAATGGGTCAAAGTTTAATAGAAATGGATTGGTTGTAAAGGCTAGTTCTAGTCTGGAGCACACAGAGGCAGAAGATTGTCTGTTTCTCACTATTGGGTCAAAATTCTGTGAAATGTTATTTTCTTCTAAGCTGTGTACAAAAAAAAAAAAGATGGCAAAATGGTTATTCGTTGTCAGATGCTAAATATTGCAATTTACCTGTTGGGTTTCTTGAAGGCATTTGCATCACTATGGTTTATTATCTTGCACATGGACTGTAAAAAGCAAATAGATTCAGTAACCATGGACAGCTCACATGTATTGGTGACACCTGGCTAAAGGGAGTCGATTCTCTAGAGTCATTGCCCCCTTTAAAAGTGATCTACCACACATTTGACAGATGATGAGCCGACAATATGTCACTTCCTCACTGCTTGATTTAACCTTGTAAATGCCACAACCTAGCACATAGAGACTTGTTGGGTTGCATTTGGCAGTGGTAATACTCGCTGTATGTGGAATGCTGTTTAATTTTTGGCACACACTCACACTACAGCATCATGGCTGCAGAATGCGTACAGCCCTGAGCAGGAGCATGCCCTGCTTCAGGCAGGTGGTTGGTGGGGATGATATATCTATGTCTCAACACTAGAAATTCTAAGGACCCTCTGCACACTGGTATATACCCTTTCAAGCAGACTATGCAATAAATAGGGATATTTAGTTCACACATATTGCAATACATGCTTAAGCTGGCCAACTGCGTCAAAGTAATCCCTCTATGGCCAGTCCTACTCTGCTCTGCCTACACAAATGCTACTGTGGACACAATGCTAACATAGGGGAAAAGACACCATGGGGAGAGCTACAAGGTTCAGGTCTGGCTACTGACCCAACAATACAACAAACAAGAGATCCCTGTGCTCAATTGAGCACAGGGATCTCTTGTTTGTTATATCTATGTCTCAAGCACCTGGTTTTACTGCCCCTTAACCGCACGTGAGAACAAACCATAAATAAAGGCACTTCTTCCTTTGGTGATAAACAGTTCAAAAATATTTACCCATTCTTGACCAGTATCTTTTAGGTCTTCAGAACGCTTAAAAGGTCCATCAAGTGTACAAGTAATAATGCATTTATGTATATGTAATAGGGTTGTGGGCAGGTGCAGACTGCAGTATTTCCTCCAACCTAAAGGTGTCACTGTGCCACTTCTTCAGACAGGCAGGAGCCCATGGAGGACTAATTGTTTCCTGCTATGGTCTCCAGACAGCCTTCTTGGGGAAGACAGCAATCCTATTGGATAAAGAAATCCTGTGAGTTTTGGGCAGCCATCTGGACTGAGAATTCCATATCTAGTGGACTTCTACGTCAATTTATGTGCCTACAGTGTGGGAGTAAGATATGGATGGTAGGGTTGGTTGGTCAGGGAGAGATTAGGAATATTATTAGGGAGAGCTACCTGACAAGGAGGAAAAGAGTAGGTTTCCCCTACAGGGTGTCTCGTCTCCCACTGGAATCCACATATCTGCAGGGACTATGGGGACTGCAGTGTTACTCAGTAATGCTACCACCCTTTCCCATGGGAAGTGCTCCTCTGGCATTATGTAAGTGTTTTTCATAATATTGCTGGAAAACTACCTCTTCTAATCATTACTTTATCTACTTGAAGATCTCTATACTCTACAACATACACAGCACAATTGCATTAACTGCCTTGTTTGAGCCGATTCAATTTCTACAACACATATAAACAATGTTCAAATACCTCCTTATGGCGATTCCTCTCAATCTTCAGATATGATGATTAGGCCCCACCTACAAGGTTAATGCAGACTTTTCAATTCATTTCATCAGGCAGTTAGCAGACACTGTTTTAATTCTCTTCCTTGAAAATGTGGTAGTTATTTAAAGCCCAAATCTACGTTTACTACAGAACTCTTCATATCAGTTGCAGTATAACAAAGCTCTTTCTGTCTCTCATTTATTCATGAGCCTTTAATTTCCACCATCTGAGTCCAGACCCAGTACATTTGAAGCATCCTCCCTGGCCACCATGCAGCATCTGGCCTTCATTTAACTAAGCACTTCCTTTATTAAAACTGAAGTTTAGATTAAAAAAAGTTTAGATAAAAATTGTATTTTTCTCTATGGGTTTAGTTACATTACTTATCGATCATGAGGTATGTCCCACAATGTGCAGGCTGCTAGATACTGTAGAAATCTTCACTTCAGGGCTGCCCTGTTCTCTTCCTGCTGCTGAAGTTTGGGCTTTGTTTAGGTAGCAGCTTCAAGTCTACAGGCTCAGCTGCACTACAAATGATCAAATGGGTATATGCCCCATCCTGCCCTCTCCTTCATTGAGTAAAGTTCTTTCACTGATTACACTGCCTGTAATATGATCTGTGAATGGGAAAGACTCTGGTCAGTCACATGATTCTATCCTCCATGCAAAGATTGTGAAAGAATTTTTCTTGATGGAAGAGAGGATAGGAGGGGGTGTGTCTCGGTCTGATCATCTTTAGTGATGCTAAACCCGGGGAACCGTATCTGGTAACCACCACAGTGCTAGAGCAAAAAAAAAACATTTCTATAACTAAACAGTAGCTTTAAAGCATATCTAAACCCAAAATAAACATTTAATATATTAAACCTTATCAGCCCTTTGATGGCTACATTGATTCATTCAGTTTTTTATTTCTCTTTATATCCATCTGGCGATCCTGACAGTAAAATCTACCTAAAAACAAAATGCAATGATTTGCAAATCATTGAATCATCACTGAAAAGTATATCTTCACTGAATACTGAATTAGTGGTTGCACAAAATACATAAACACTGTATTCCAACACCCCCACTCAACAACTACTATTTATATTAGTCCCATTTCGGATGTCTCTATCTTTCTATAAATCTGTTTCTTTTAACCACTAGCCTACAGGACACTTATACCCCTTCCTACCCAGGCCAATTTCCAGCTTTCAGTGCTGTCACACTTTGAATGACAATTGCACGGTCATGCAACACTGTACCCATATGAAATTTTTCTCATTTTTTTTTAGACAGAGCTTTCTTTTGGTGGTATTTAATCACCTCTGGGATTTATTTTTCTTAAACCAAAAACCACTGAAAATTTAGAAAAAAATTAAAGTTTTTTCTTAGTTTTTGTTGTACAATTTTGTAAATAAGTGATTTTTCTCCTTCACTGATGTGTGCTAATGAGGCTGCAGTGATGGGCACTGATAGGCTGCACTGATGGACACTGATAGGTGGCACTGATGGGCACTGATGAGGAGGCACTGGTAGGTTGCACTGATGGGCATTGACAGGCATCACTGATGGGCACTGAAATTCAGCACTGATATATGACACTGATATATGGCACTGACTGGCACTGTTAGGCGGCACTGACTGGCAATGTTAGGCGGCACTGACTGGCACTGATAGGCGGCACTGATGCGCACTGATAGGCCGACACTGACTGGCACTGATAGGTGGCACTGATTGGCATCACTGATAGGCGGCACTGATTGGCATCACTGATAGGTGGCACTGATTGGCACTGATGGGTGACATTGAAAGGCAGCTCAGATGGGCACTGATATGTGGCATTGATGTGCACTGGTAGGCACTGATATGTGGCACTGATGAGCACTGGCAGGTGGCATGGATGAGCACTGAAACATGGCACTGATAGACACTGACAGGCGGCACTGCTGGGGATACACTGATCATCAGGGCACACTGATAATCAGTGCCCTGATGATCAGTGTACATGTCCCCTCTGCGGAAAGCCGATTACCGGCTCTCCTTACCTCTCGAGCTGTCAGCGTGACAGCTAAAGAGGAGAGAAATGCCGATAACCGGAATTTCCATGTTTACATGTGATCAGCTGTGATTGGACACAGCTGATCACATGACCGAGCCGACGTCTTCAGCTCTTTCCGTGATTCTCTGTGTCCGAGGGACACAGCGCACCGGCGATCGCCGCGCTGCACGCTCCCTGAGCATGCGCGGTGAGAATGGAAGGATGTCATATGACGTTCTATCAGAACGAGAGAACCACCTTGCGCCCGTCATTGTACTATATGGCGGGCGGGAGGTGGTTAAGTAATTTTGTCAAACTCTTCATCAGCAACTCTGATCCACTTTTGTTTCTCATGGGTTGGAACTTTTTGCATCTCATTCCATGAATCTGGCTCTGGCTTTAATGCAGCGAGAGCAACAAAGGACAGACATTTGGTTCGGATGCCTTTATTGCTACTGGTAGTTTTGCTTATTGAAGCCTCTTATGGCCTGGTTTCTTCTTTTACAATATTTGGATTGTCTGCATTCATTTCTATTTCTGTGTCACTTTGTTGCTTATCTTCAGGTGAGCATGATGTGGAATTCCCTCAGGTTTTTAAGCTGTGCTGTTACTCTGCTTTGGAAAGGCTTTTCTTGTCATTTTTCCTTTTACTGTATACAGCTGATGCATTTCATTGATCACATGGACTAATTTTTATTTCACTTGCAAAGTCATTCTCAGTTAATTTCTTTATTATGTCAGGACTTCTGTGCCCAAGGTATCTGTGCCATTTTTGAATGCAATTTGAATGGTTTTCCCCCTTGGCAGTATTAACCACCTCATTGCAGTTCAGCTGATACAGTTCATCTGTAATTTTATTCTTTGCAAGTGAGATCTTCCCTTTTGTGATGGCAGAACTGTCACTTTGGAAGGTCACTACACGGTGTTGTTTTGTGAGCTTCTTCGCTGACAAAAGATTAATTTAAAGAGTAGGGACATTCAGGACATTTTTCACATGTATCTTTCAGGTTACATTCTGGGAAATAGGACAGTTAAGAAAATGGTCTCCTATTCCTTCTGATTCCATTATTTGCCCATTAGCTGAGGATATGTTTTCTGTTTTACTCTGGTCAAAGTGAATAAAGAAACTTCTGTCATTTGTCATGAGACTTATAGCTCCTGAATTAACACACCATGCCTGCAAAGATGAGGTGCAACTTGTAGGTTGAACAACATATTCATTATCTGAAGAGAAATCAGTTTCTTCCTTCACATTTTTGGCCTTTTGTAGTTTAGTTTTTCTAGCTTTCCAGATTCTGCAATCTGCTGTAAAATGGCCTTATTTCTTGCACACAAAGCATTCACATGTTTATTGTTGCATATTACAGTTTTTTCCTGTATTTCAAAGCAGACTCTGCAACAGAATCACCTTCAATAATAATGTTTTTTGTTTTTTTGTTTATATTTATCCACAAGCTTGCCCTTAGCATATTCCAATGTCAGCTCATGGTCTGGACATGCATCAGGAGCTGTGACAAGCGTTTCATAACTTTTTGGTAAACCATTAAATATTAGTGCTGCAACATGAAAATCTTTTATTTCTTCTCCTATACCTCTCAGGTGTTCAACCATTTCCAGCGTGTGCCTTATGTAATCCTGCATATCCTGGTCTTTCATCATCTTGGTTTGCTATAGCATTCTAATCAAATACAGTTTATTTCTAAGATTAGCTGTTTCATGCACCTTTTGTAATTCTTCCCACATTTTTTTTAGCAGTTTCACAATTGCATTATGTATTATTTGATCATCTTCTATGCTAAGAGAGAATGTGCTCTGAGCTTTCTGATCTTTTTCTATCCACTCATCTGAAGGGTGTTCTGGACTGACTTCATTGTACATTTCCACGCACCTTCTCTTCTCTTAGCAGCATTTTCATTTTCAATTTCCAAGACTGGTAGTTCTGGTTTGTCAGGTTTGCAAACAAAAACTTTGCTGCAGTTGTGTTACTGGCAATTTTCTTTCATTCAGAAAAGCAGGAAACTTTATTTTCAGAGACTTAGAGTTTATCCTAGACACAGCTACAAATGTATAAACACTACCATCTACTGCCTGAAGAATATATCTCTACTGAATACAAAAGTAGTTGTTGCACAGAATACATGAACACTGTATTCCAACAAAAACTTATCAATGTTTAAATTGTAAAAATGTACCATTTTAAGAAAAATATAAATTGTATATAAACCAGTGCATCCGTATCATACCCTTATGCTTTACTGCATATGCCACACTATCCCATAATATGTACACCTGCTTAGTGACATTTTGAAGTGGACACTGCAGAGCAATGTCCCGTTCCATCAGTCCAGGTCTCCTATCACCTCACTCCAAGTAATAGCCTGTGATTCTGCCAGCTGTTTGCAGATTCAGTCCTGGTTGCTGGGGCACCAACTGCTCGAGAGGGAAGCAGCAAAATGCTCCCTTAGCTATGCACGCTATAAGTCAAGCATCTCCCGACGTCTGCCTGTCCTTTTCCTTTGGTTGCCGTTAGCAACAGTATGTTCTCCACTTTACTAACTGAAGAATGTGAGATGAGTTTATAGAAAATACACCCCAATAAAGGTAACATCTCAAAATATTGTATTTGGAAAAAAATTCTGGAGCTCCCATATCCATTCCAGAAGGATGGGGAGATTTACAAGCAAAAGGTGGGACTCTATAATGTGCTGATATTGGGAAAATACAGATAACAATATATAAAACCAAAATGTATTTTATTACAAAATTGGAATAAAATGTCATCTATGTGTTGAAAACATCAATCAATACTGAATCCAGTTAAGACGTGTTTGTTTCTTCATACAAGAACTATTACAGTATTCAATCAACGTGTAGAATAAATGCGTTTCACATGATCTGCTTCCTTAGGATACACATTGAAATATACAGGCAGAGGATAGCTACAAAAATGAACAAAAAAACATAACATACAGGGTTTATTTACTAAAGTTGAAAGTGAAAAATTAGGCTCACTTCTGCATAGAAACCAGTGAGCTTCTAACCTCAGCTTGTTCAATTAAGCTTTGACAATAAAACCTGGAAGTTGATTGGTTTCTATGCAGAAGTGAGCCTGATTTTAATATAACTACAAATGCAAATCATTATAGTAACTCTAAATCAGGAAAAATTACCTAAAGACAGGAGAAAGGGGCTGGGGTGAAAGGTAATACTCCTAGCCTACTTCATGCAGGCCAAAATACCAAGGTGAGGGATGACCCACGGGAGGACAGCCTCAAAGAGGTAAGGTACAAACTTGGATATGCCATCAATAAAAATGCATCCCATATATCATATGGGATATATCATAAATTCGTGCCTGTTTCAGTCACAGGAAGCAAAGAAAGGGGAAACTACAAAAGATCATTATAAAAGGCACAAGGAGGAGGAAAAACCAAACACCCATAATTCACTTTGTCTGAAGAGAAAGAATTGCATAAAAATTCTTAACTAATTGGCCTCAACAAATTATATATATATATATATATATATATATATATATACTGCTCAAAAACATTTAAGGAACTCTTTGAAAAAATCAGATCTCAATGGGGAAAAATATGCTAGATATCTATACTGATATGGACCGGGTAATGTGTTAGGAAATAACGTAAGGATGCCCCATTGTTTGATGGAAATGAAAATTATCAACCTACAGGGGATTTAATTCAAAGACACCCTGAAAATCAAAGTGAAAAAATGATTCAGCAGGCTAGTCCATTTTGCTGAAATTTCATTGCAGCAACTCAAAATGGTACTCAGTAGTTTGTATGGTCCCCATGTGCTTGTATGCATGCCAGACATCGTCAGGCTATGCTCCTAATGAGACAACGGATGGTGTCCTGGGGTATTTCCTCCCAGATCTGGACCAGGGCATCACTGAGCTCCTGGACAGTCTGAGGTGCAACCTGGCAGAATCAGATGAATCGAAACATGATATCCCAGAGGAGTTCTATAGGATGTAGGTCCGGTGAGAGTAGGGGCCATTTAATGGTATCAATTCCTTCATCCTCCAGTAACTGCCTGCACACTCTCACCACATGAGACCAGGCATTGTCGTGCACCAGGAGGAACCCACTGCACCAGCGTAGGGTTTGACATTGGGTCTAAAGATTTCATCCTGAAACCTAATGGCAGTCAGGGTGCCATTGTCTAGCCTGTAGAGGTCTGCATGTGCCTCCATGGATATGCCTCCCCAGACCATCACTGGAACCCCACTGAAATGGGCATGCTGAATGATGTTACAGGGAGCATAATGTTCTCCATGGCTTCTCACGACCATTTCACGTCTGTCACACGTGCTCAGGGTGAACCTGCTCTCATCTGTGAAAAGCACAGGGCGCCAGTGGTGGACCTGCCAATTCTGGTGTTCAATGGCAAATGTCAATCGCGCTACATGGTGCATGGAAGTTAGCACAGGGCCCACTAAAGGACATTGGGCCCACAGGTCACCCTCACAAAGTCTGTTTCTGATTGTTTGTTCAGAGACATTCACACCAGTGGCCTGCTGGAGGTCATTTTGTAGGGCTCTGGCAGTGCTCATCCTGTTCCTCCTTGCACAAAGTCCTGCTGATGGGTTAAGGACCTTCTACTGCCTGTCCAGCCCTCCTAGAGTAACTGCCTGTCTCCTGGAATCTCCTCCATGCTCTTGAGACTGTGCTGGGAGACACAGCAAATCTTCTGCCAATGGCGTGTTTTGATGTGCCATCCTGGAGGAGTTGGACTGCCTGTGCCTCATGCTACCAGTAGTGACACTAACCCTAGCCAAATGCAAAACTAGTGAAAAACAGTCAGAAAAGATGAGTAGGGAAAAAAATGTCAGTGGCCTCTACCTGTAAAACCATTCCTGTTTTTGGGGACCGTCTCATTGTTACACATCTAGTTCTCCTGTTGTTAATTTCATTAACACCAAAGCAGCTGAAACTGATTAACAACCCCAATATACTGAATAGGGAAAGAACAAACCGAGGGCGCACAGGCCTAGTGCATTACCATAAAAAATGTT